GAAGGCTCTGTATGCATGCTGTTTATTGTGATTATGTTGGTTTTGTATCGTGGTGGTATTTTTGGGGAACTCACTAAGCTTTGGGCTTACAGTTTTGGGTTATGTTTCAGGTACCTCAGATGATCGCGGGAAGTCAAAGGCGTGATCATGCACCTCTTCATGTTTTGTTCTATAATTTTGGGAAAAACTCTGATAATAAACATGTTTTGAAAACTATTTTGTGAACAATGATGGTTTGTGGTATTGTTTGAAAATTTTAAAATTTTTATGAATTTTATGATTATTATGACTCCTCTAGAGATATATATATATATATAGCTAGATATATATATTGATATATATATATATATATTATATATATATATATATCTATATATATATATATAGGGTTAAGTTTATGGAAAACAAAAAACCCTAAAAAAACCCTAAAAATGCATAAAAAAATACTTAGAGATCACAAAAAAAAATTTTTGAATTTTTTTTATAATTCGCTGAAAAAAAAAATTAAAAAATCAGTTTTTTTTTTTTATAAAAAAAAAAAAATTTCAAAATTTTTTTCAGCGAATTTCTTTAAAAACCTGCGATTTTTTCATAAAAATGTCAAAAAAAAGTTTTGTGATCTCTAGGTATTTTTTATGCATTTTTATGATTTTTAGGGTTTTTTTGTGTATATATATATATATATATTATATATATATATATATATATATATATATATATATCATACATACTTATAAAGCTAGCATTTTTTTTCTTGAATCTCATGCATTTGAAACCCCATTTTTAACTTCCTCAAACCACATTAATTTGAAACCCCCTTTTTTTAACTAATGCAACTCAAAAGCTTTCTTAATTATGATTTAACACTCAAAAGTTTTATAACTTATATTATGTTTAATTAGCATTTAGTGAAAAGTTTTTGTGTTGGGTTGAGTTCTTATGACCACTTTTGGAGATATACTATTATATTAGAGCTTTTAATTTGTAAGTTTGTTATACTAATTCGTTTATATATTTTCTTCATTTTTGGATTATTGTAATACAGTCGTTGTATATTGTGGTTTAATCGTTAATATATTGATCATATGTTATATAGGGTGATGTCGAAAATATTAATTAAATATTTAAAGATGGTTTTTTTTGGTTTTGTAATTGTACCGTTCAAAAAGATAATTACGTAAAACTCTACATATGTTATACTTCGAGTCGGGCTCTCTCTCTCTCCGATTATATCTATTATATAATATAGCGATATATATATATATATATATATCGATATAGATATATATAGATATATACTATATATATATATATATATAGGTTTAGGTTGTATGGAAAACAAAAAACTTTAAAAATCATAAAAATGCATAAAAAAAATACTTAGAGATCACAAAACTTTTTTTTGAATTTTTTTATGAAAAAATCGCATGTTTTAAATAAATTCGCTTGATTTTTTTTTGAAAAATTTTTTTAAACTTTTTTTTTTAAATTGGTTTGTTCTTTTTTTTCAGCGAATTTATTAACAAACCTGCGATTTTTTTATGAAAAATTTAAAAAAAGGTTTGTAATCTCTAAGTATTTTTTATGCAGTTTATGATTTTTAGGGTTTTTTTTTAGGGTTTTTTGGTTTCTAAATAACCCCTTCCCTATATAGATATATTATATAGATTATATATCTATAGATATATATTAGATATATATATATATATATATATATCTATTATAATAGAGGTCAAAACATTTCAACCAAAATTCATTTAAAATCTAATATTGCAAATGCTTTTTAATAATGATTGTAAAAATTTCAACATGTGTTACTTAATTGATTGATTAATAAAAATATTAATGTTTGAAACTCTTAACTCTTAAACTTATATTATTTCATTGGTTAGTTAACTAAAATAGTTTTCCTACCATAAAGATAACATTTTTATGTTTGGTTACTCATATTTGTTTATGTAATTAGAAAACAAGGTGTACATAGAATGACTACTTCAATTTCACATACGAATCGATACCACTAGAGAGGTATGTTGTCTTTAACCGGTGGTAGGAGATCCACATACCCTTTTAATTATTTATATTAATGCTTAGTAATATCTATTTTATATTCATATTCACGTTAATTTTTTAGGTACAAATTAAGAAAGAGGATTTTCGGCGCACCAACATAAAGTCATACGTATGCCTTGCAAAATATGTAATTAAAATTAAATATCATATTTACTAATCGACTTATTTTAAAACTCTTAATGACATTTATGTATAATGATATATTTTATATCACTTCATTCTTAATTTCAAGTTTTATATTTGAAACGTTTATATATGAAACTTGGATGTTTTTGGTGTAATATAAAATAGCGTAATACAAAGTTATTAGTTCAACTATTGTTATAATAGCTCATTTAAAACACTTATTTCTTATTTTATCACTAAATATTATCGGACATAAGAAAAATAGATTATATTAATGTTATTGTTATACAAAAACTTATAATATATATAAGATATTATAAAAGTAAAACGTAAAGGTTATAGGTAGGGACTATATTAGATAGTATCAAAATATAAATTGATGAATTTTTATGTTATTTGATTAATTCGGTTAATGTCCAAAACATGACTAAAAATGTAAATTTCAA